ATCTTTCAATAAAAGAGCGTGTGACTGGAACGTGCTTCAACACGACAACGATGATCACAGGGTGTATCAAGTTACAGATCAACAACAGAGTATGTTATTTCGTCATTATATGAAAATAATTAACTAGTTGTTGAGTAAAGAGTGTTAAATCAGTAAAAAATTTTCAAAGAATCAAATTATAACAAAGAAGAAATTAAGTGTAAGCAAACACAAAGTGAAAGTATAAGTTAAGACAGACGAATATAATAATTTAATAATTTCTAAAGTTGCTGAAAAAAAAAACTAAAATTTGATTCATAAGAGTTTAATTACTTATACCATTAAGTTAAGTACATTGAATTGTTTATTTGTAAGATTCAATTTTAAGCATTGTGAAAAGCGAGCAACGACGATAACAAAATGAACAGAGACGAAATTTTGGCGTTAAGAGTTAACGAATTAAAAGAAAAGTTATCGGCACTTAGTTTGGTAACAACAGGTAGAAAGCAAACTTTGCAAGACCGACTTTTAGAATATTATGGGTTGCAGGTTGACGATAATGAATCTGAGTATGACGATGCTGGGTCGGCTCATACCCGTCAAAGCTCACCAATGCAGATAGTCCGAACAACGTTTACATTACGCGACATTGAAGATTCACTCTCGCAATTCAATGGGTCAAATCAACCAGCTGTTGAAAAATGGATTCATGAATTTGAAGATAACGCTTTGGCAGTGCAGTGGAACGACCTTCAGAAATTTATTTACTCAAAGCAATTACTAAAAGGTGCAGCAAAATTATTCGTGCGCAGTCAGCATGGAATTTCAGATTGGATATCTTTAAAGCAAGCGCTATTGGAAGAATTTGGGACGGTAGTTTCATCAATAGACGTCCACCGCATGTTGCGGAATAGGCGTAAGCGTCAAGGTGAAGATTATATAGAATATCTGTATAGCCTTATGGAAATTGGCGGACCTCTTAACCTGGATGACTCAAGCCTGATAGAATATTTTATTGAGGGAATACCTGACTCGAGGAGTAACAAAAGTAATCTGTATCAGGCCAAGACTCTGCAGCAACTAAAAGAACAAATCAAGGTATATGAGAAAATCCGTAGTAGTCGCCCTCAAGCGTCTAATACGGGTAGGATGCATAACGATACCGAAGAAAAGAAACCTGACTTGAATAAAGAACGAATTAAGAAATGTTTCAAATGCGGCGATCCATCACATCTAGCCAGAGAATGTAGACAGCCAATAAAATGTTACAAGTGTGCTCAACCAGGGCATAAGGCAGCTAACTGTTCAGGATCGCGTGCAGTGGAGAAGAAAGAAGGCCAAAATGCGAACACGATGATAAACAAGGCCAACAGTAGTGGAAAATGCATTTTTAAGGAGTTGTCTTGTAAGAACATATGCTTCTCTGCATTAATCGATACAGGCTGTGACCTCTGTCTGATACGCGATGATATCCTTAAAGAGCTAGGAAAAGTTGAACTGAATAATGAAAAACAGTGTCTTGTTGGTATCTGTAATAGTGAGCTAAATACACTGGGAAGCTTTGTCACTCAAGTCGAAGTTGATGGTATCTTACTGGATATAACCTTTCATGTTACGAGCAGAGACGACATCCAATACTCAGCTGTAATAGGAAACAGCGTATTGAAGCAAGCGGACTTAATAGTATCGGAAAATTTCGTAGAATTTCGACCCAAAGTGAAGGACAATGCAAACGAGAGAGTAATTGACAAGACATCAACAATAACAGAAGATACTGTCGAAAATAAGAAGCCAGACATAGAGCTTTTACAAGAATTCAAAGATGTATGTTTTTTTGCAGAAAATCAGTAGGCTGAGATCGATCTACATCACTTAGAAAAACCTGTTGCAGACGCAGTTCAAGCAATAATTAAAAACTATTCACCTGAAATGAAGAAGAAATGTCCAATTGAAATGAAAATTTTGTTAAATGATGAGCGTCCAGTTTTCGAACGCCCAAGGCGCATATCACATGCGGACAAGTCTATTGTCGATTCGCAAATCAAAACTTGGCTAGAAGAAAAGATCATACAGCCAAGTACATCGGAGTATGCATCTCCTGTTGTCCTCGTTCCGAAAAAAGATGGTACCAAAAGATTGTGCTGTGACTACAGGCGTCTAAACGAAAAGATCGCGAGGGACAATTTTCCAATGCCCTTAATAGACGATGTGATTGAGAGATTGCAGGGCCAAAGTGTGTTTACTACACTTGATCTCGCAAACGGATTTTTTCATGTTCCAATTGAGCCAAATTCGAGAAAATTTACATCATTTGTAACAAGTGCAGGGCAATATGAATTCCTGTTCGTCCCTTTTGGAATATCGAACTCCCCAGCTGTATTTTCCAGATTCATTCATGCAATTCTTGTAGATCTGGTACAGGATGGTACAGTCGTAACTTATATGGATGATCTTATAATTCCCTCCAAGGATATAGATGAAGGTATCCAAAAGTTAAAGCGCGTACTGGACAGAGCAGCAGAGTTTAACTTGCGTATTAAGTGGAGCAAGTGCCAGTTTCTCATGAAGGAAGTTGACTTTTTAGGGTACGTTATACAGGGAGGCACAATAAGACCATCTGCAAGAAAAACCCAGGCAGTTCAAAATTTTCCTATACCGCATGACCGAAAGAGTTTGCAGCGTTTTCTCGGATTAACATCGTACTTTAGGCGCTTTGTAGAAGACTATGCGCTGATAGCCAAACCGCTCTCCGATTTGTTACGGAAAGACGTGCAATTTAAAGTTGATGAAGAACAACTAGTCGCATTCAGGCAATTAAAATCAGCATTAGTTAGTACTCCAGTATTGCGATTATATAATCCGAAAGCCAAGACTGAAGTGCATACGGACGCCTCAATGAATGGTTATGGTGGTGTACTCTTGCAAAAAGACTCGGACGATCAATTGTTGCATCCAATTCAATATTTAAGTCGGAAAACAAAACCCTCAGAAGAGAAGTATCATTCTTATGAGCTTGAGGTGCTGGCTATAGTCGAGGCCTTGAAAAAGTGGCGCGTTTACTTACTTGGCATAAAATTTAAGATTGTGACCGACTGTAACGCTTTCGCTTTGACCATGAAAAAACGTGGAGATATTCCATTGAGAGTCTCGCGTTGGGCACTCTTCCTTCAAGATTTTGACTACAGTATTGAGCATCGAAATGGCAGCAAAATGAGGCATGTTGATGCTTTAAGCCGCGTATCCTGTCTTATGCTTGAAGACTCACTGCAGCACAGATTGCAGCAAGCACAAGCGAGAGATGATTGGGTCCGAGCGGTGCTAACTGTTTTGGATTGTAGCACATACGAAGATTTTTATGTTAGGCATGGTATTTTATACAAGGATCCCATCAAGGAACTTATAGTAGTACCATCGCTGATGGAAGACGAAATCATAAGAATTGCACACAAGCAAGGGCATTTCTCAGCAAAACGAACTCAAGAAGCAATCGAGAAGACATTCTATATTCCGCAGCTATCGTCAAAAGTGCCAAAAATTGTAAAAAGTTGCGTAGAATGCATAATATCTGAGAGCAAATCAGGCAAGAAAGAAGGGTTTTTGGCACCAATTGACAAAGAAGACAAGCCCTTAGGCACGTACCATGTGGATCATGTCGGTCCAATAGAACAGACAAGTAAAAACTATAACTATATTCTAGTGATAGTCGATGCGTTTTCAAAATTTGTTTGGCTCTATCCAACAAAAAATACCACCGCAGAAGGAGTTGTAGATCGACTAAGACGGCAGGCAGCAGTGTTTGGAAATCCTAAGCGCATAATATCAGATAGGGGTGCAGCTTTCGTTTCAAACCTGTTCAAGGAGTACTGTGAAACAGAAGGTATACAGCATCTTACGATAGCTACAGGAGTTCCAAGAGGAAACGGCCAGGTAGAACGTATACACAAAATCGTAATACCAATGTTGTCTAAACTATGTCGTGAAAATCCTTGTAGCTGGTATAAGCATATTGATATCGTTCAACAAACAATCAACAGTACGCCGCCAAGAAGCACTAAAGTTTCACCGTTTAGATTGTTGACTGGTGTGGAGATGAAACTTAAAAGAATATCGGACTTGCAAGAACTATTAGAAGAAGCTGCTATAGAGGAGCTAAGTAACGAAAGAGAAGAAGTTCGTAAAGAAGCGCGGCAAAATATAGCAAAAATACAGCAGGAAAACCGAAAATCTTTTAATAAACATCGCAAAAAAGAGTCCAATTATAAAATAAACGAACTTGTAGCCATTAAGAGAACACAGTATGGTACTGGTTTAAAATTGAAACCTAAATTCTTTGGTCCATATAAAATAGTAAAGATTCAAAACCATGGTAGATATGACGTAGAAAAGGTAGGCGACCACGAAGGTCCAGGGAAAACTACAACTGTAGCAGAATACATGAAAAAATGGGAGCCAAATGCTAATTTAACAGAAGAGTCGTCATTCGGGTCGAATGAAGAGTCAGGATGGCCGAGTGTAGGAGTTGGAAACAGAACTAGGAGTGGTCGAACTTACAATCAGTTAAATTAAACAGGCGAGTATAATGTTGGCATTATACTCATTTGGTAATATAAAATCACTTATCATATGCAACCCTGCTATGGATATTTAATCAACGATAGATTTATCGATAAAAATACAAGAAGGAGAAGCTCAGTTGTAAGCTAGAAGAGTCAATGAAAAGATGTGTTCGCTGTTGCTCGTTGTCTTTGAAATACATGTCGGAAAATGTACAATAATCATAAGTTTACGCTTGTTCACCAATTTCTCTAAATAAAATAATATGAACACAAAGAACTCAAGTGCTTGTGAAGGCCATCGAATGGTCATCCCTACATTGGTTTCTTTTCTTATTATTTTTTTTTTTTTTTTAGTTGATTTCAGTTTTAAATTGCAGAAATTTCATTTTGATTTGGTGTTTATATTGTCAGAAACAAAGACTTTAGTTAATTTTAAATATTTGTTGACTTAAATTTATGTTTGGTTTTTGTGGTAGTAAGTAGTCTGGTTGTTTATATTATTAAAATCAGTTGATTATTTATTTGTCTGTTGATTGTAAGAAAATTTAGTTTGTCTCACCTTCGCCCTTTTTCATTTTTTAATGTGCCCCCATATTTGGCTCTTGTTCCAATCAAGTCTATAATCTCAGGTATACAACTTGCAAAAATCGCCTGTATTCAGTATGAAAGATAATGATGATAGTGAAGTATTTCGATTTGTTTTCTTTTGAATACTTTTTATTGGTAGAAATAATACAAAAATCATACACGGAGCTCAGAGAACGCGAGGGAGTCAAGACAGGAGAAACTGAGAGGAATACCGATTGGCAGACAAATCTCTATAGATATACATGTGTATGCCTAGAAAAATGCTCAGTAGTTCAGTTCAACGACGTGGACGACACTTTTGCCTGCTGGGTGCTGGGAAGTTGCTTTGGTGGTTGATCATTTTTATTGTTGCTGTTTTTTTTTTTTTTGTTTTGTTTTGTTTTGTTTTGTTTTGTTTTATTTTTTGATGATAGCGCCAGACGTCATAGTTGTGAAAACTGAAGCATCTAAATGTTTAAAATCATAATGCTAATATAGAAACCATAAGAAAATATTATTTTGAAATTGAATTGAACTAAATAAAAGTATATTTTCATATATTCTTCGCAAATCAACCAACCATTTCAACAGTCTGCAGCTAATTGTTGTTTTGCAAATTATTAATAAGTAACACATGTCTAGTAACAATTAATTTTGCAGTAGGCCTTCGATTTCTTGGGGGTACGTGTTGTCTATAGTTAACAACACAGTATGTACTAAATTATCAATCGATATATGTAAACAAGCATATAGTATCACGTAACGAATATCATCAGGATGAGTTAAATATCTGGTGCCAGTGCACACACCCATCAATGCAAATCTAAATTTGACTTTATATTGATGATAGGTTTGAGCTTTAGCACCTGCTATTAGCAGAGACTGTTGGAAACTACAACTACTTCAAGATCAGGTGGTTTTGCATGGTAAGATATAATGTGTGTTTCATAAATTTTATAAATAGGCATATTCGCTATTCGCAAACAAAACATTTGTTTCATTGTATCTGGATGGTGTACGTGAGAGTCTATACTTTTTGGGAGGAATCGGGAAAGAGTTTCAAATGTAGACATGATATTGATACTGATTACGATTACACAGATACTGCAACTATTACTGATAACAAATAAATTGTTTGTCTTAATTAAATCATTGAGAAATTTTGCAGCGCCGCTTCGGGCAGCTGTATTACTCGTATATGCGTGGCTGCGGCATACTAAGTAGGTGCAAGCAAATTAACGACTTTAATTAATTAGAGATGATTAAGTAGGTAAATTGTGTAATATGTTATGTATGGTCGATTTTACCATATATTAATGGAGTATTTAGTATGCATGTATGTAATTACAAGTGAATTCTATATAATATGTAATAGTTAGGTAGTGGATAAAATTGCAAAAACGTTTCTACTTCATTTGTTTATGTATGTATTTGAGTAGAATTATAAAACGTGTACAAAATTGGAATAAATTAATGTCCATAGATCAAATCGGTACAGAACTAAAGCAGCAACTTGGTGTGTGGGTTCCAACAAACAAACCAACAAACAATTCAATGTTATGCATTTTATTCATTTTTTTTTAAGTAAGTTCAAAAACTAAACTTAAGAAAAAGCTATTTGTTTCGAAGCATTTCAACAGGGAAACTAAAACTATAAACAAATCCAATTTATCATAAATTGACTCTGCTGAAGTTGCATAAAAACTCGCGATTAATTTGTTTAAAAACTAAAAAAAAGTATTTTGATTAAATATTAAAGCCTGAACTGAGCACAAGGTGGCTAACGTTAAAAATCCTTTATTATTTTATTGATCCTTATTACAAAAAAAAAGTCATGAGACTTTTATTTTATATTCTCGTTTTTAAGTCAAAACATAAAACAAAAGAAATAAAATATTGACAATACTTCATATTATTGTATTAAAAAATTGTTTAATTATACTATTTTTCAGAATGCTTGCCGTCCAAATAGTCTAAGACATTTAAAATTCATTGACTTCTGTGCCAACCAATATGCCAAAATTCATCGATTTCTGTGCTTTGTGTTTTTTGCACTCACACGCAACGTATTTAAACCCTTCTGTAAATTGTTCTCCAAAACGAATTATGCAAATCAAATATGTATGATTGTGTCTATACGTGTGTGTGTGCGTGTGTGTGTGTCTTTGAATGCGTTTGAAAGTTCATTAACTCTGTTGGCTTGTTTGCAATCAATTCCGATTCCGAATTGTGCTACCAATGTCGTAAGATGCATGCTCTGCGTTATGCAGCAAAAAATACAACAAAATCAAAATGTTACCTTTAAAGGAGAACTACAAACATTTATGTATAGAGTATTGTTTGAGTCATAGCAATTGCGTCACGTATATTGATTATGAGTTAGCCGTTCTTATAATGAAAAGAAACTTTTTGATTTAGTTTGGAATTTGGACGATGAAATGTGCGTGAGAAAATTTGAGAATTTGTTGCATACCCGCCAGGCACTACGATTTCTATTAAATTCAATGTGTAAACATTTAATATCAACAATGCAAACATGATTCAACATTGAGTAACCACTTTGGCACTGAACATGTCCCAATTTGACCGCACATTGATCGTTTTTCTCTCAAGCTAACAAATAGCCTAATGAATCGCACACAAAAAAAACGAAGCCAAGTTGAAAAATATAAAATAATAAATTACATGTATAGCATGTTTATGTTTGGAAATATGATAACAACATAATTTACAGAAGGTTTTGAGAAAGAAAAAATGACACATTTAAGTCTTAGCTCATTTGATTTACGTATTTAACAGAGTTCGGTTTTCTCTCCTTTTACACATGCCACCAAGAAACCAATGCCTTTTTGTTAATTCGAATATAGTTCTTTATATTTTTGCAATATTCATTTTATTTACTTAATTATTGGCAACTGTTTTGTGGTTCAAGATCTGTCTGTGTTTTTTTGCTAATGCTCTTTTAACTGGTTTGTGTGCAGTTGCTGAGCAGATTTTGATAGCAAATGTGTGGGCATTTTTATGCAAATTCAAGTGACGTCAAATAACAATAAAATTAGGATAATACAAAAATGAATAAATAAAAGGACAAACGAGAAAAAAAAATAAAAATTTGTCTTAAAAAAGTATTTCATTTTCTGAAGTTTAGTAAGAATGCAATATAAGAAAAATCAGGTTAATTCGATTGTAGCGATTGTTGTTTTATAGATTCTGGTTATTTATCTTTTTGGTGTTGCTGTTGTAGTTACTTTGTATTTATTTAATTTATTTGTTGAATAATTCTTTTTTGTGGTACAGCCAGCAACGAATTCGTGTACCTTTTTCTAGGATCCTTGCTATATGTTCCACCATATTTGCTTCTCTGGGCAGCCAGTTCAGTGATTTCTGGTATCCAACTAGCGAACACAGCCTAAATTCAACAACACACATACACTTTTAGAATACAGAGAAGTGCCAAAATAATTCAGTTTCAGTTTCAGTTACAATTGCAGTTTTAGTATTTGGCTACTTGTTGCTGATCTTTGGATGGTGTGTTAAAAGAATTCACAAACTTTCTAAATGCGAGACTCACAAATTCGTAAGGAAACGACGACGATAACGCAGACAACGCAGGACAACAAAGGATGCATACATACCTCAAAATCACATAATCACACCGCACTCATTCTAACGATGATTCATACATTCAAGTCAACTCTCAACTCACTCACACACTCATACTTACATACTTATATACACATTTACCAGGTTCACTTGCAGACATTCGAAACCATTCGCTCAATATTACATCTAATTGTAAATAATTTTTTTATATATATATATACAGTTTGGATCTCTGGAAAGATATTATCTTTAAGTATTTACTGTTGTTTGTTTTTACTTTAAGGTCTATGAATTTACAGATTTACAGCTGTATACGAAACGTGCTATGGCTGCCAAGGAGTCTGCGGAGAGAGTCGTCGACCGACTACATACACGTATACGAATATTATTATTTAGATTTAGGGTATTTTAATGGCTTTTTTAAATACAAAATATAGCGATACTTTCAGTTCTAATGGTGTGCTAAATGTTATGGAATGAGATTGAGCGAACTGAAATAAACCTAGAATTTGTACGTTTAATATGCTCATATGCCTTTTTGTTCAATGTCGTACTAATATTGATTATAGAATAAACTTCGGCTAACCGAATCAAAAGACAAGTTCCAAAACCAGAGAAAATGTTTGATCGAATTTTAATTTAAATGCAGTTATAACAAATGTTTATCTACAATTTCTTATCATTTCCCACAAATTTACCATAACTTTAGCTCGAAACATACATTTTCTTCTGAGTTTTTTGAAAATTAGTCGGACAATTGGCAGACAAGCGTTTGTACACTTAATGGAATATACAAATTTAACCTGGATAATCTGGAAAATGTCTCGAAAAAATAAAATAAATCATGTTTTAGGCATAATTTAAAATGTTGAAGACATCGATGTACTATTTATGTTATGGTGACACTGATACAAAACTGCTTATTTAAGGATCAAAAGTTAAATGTAATTATTGCATAATATAGCTAATAGTCTCTCTTTAAAATATAAATAAAGATAATTACGTATACTTTGAAATATAATATTTTATTTGGTAATGCGTGACCGATGCTTTTAAATTGTGTTATCAACAATGCGACTTTAAGTTTTGCTTAAATGCTGCAGGATATTGACGAAAACAAAACCAAAAAAAAAAAAAAAAAAAGGAACTTAACCTTTAACTATCTCAAGTTGATAAACGCATGTTTCGTACTTCTGGTGTTAATGCAAAAAACATTTAAAGCATGGCAAATAAAACATTACTAAATGTAAACAGGAAATGAAAAAGTAAATGGACAGCAAATTCGGGCCAAATGTAATGTAAAACACACGCCTACAAAGTGTTTGTAGAACGAATTGCTAACTAATTCAAACAAATGTGTGAGACGTAATCAATTAAAAAATAAAATAAAAAAGGAATAAAAAGGAAAATACAAGTACAAAATCCCTAATTACTTTAATTGAAAAATTGATCATTTACATACAAATTGTATATGTAGACGACTAACTGATCTGTAGAATAGAGGTTGTGATTGATAATTATTGAAAGGAAAATGTAAATTTTAAGAAAACAAATTGAAATAAGAATGTAGAAAGTACTTTACTTTTTGATCGTATGATTAAACAGGGCGTTACGCAATGATAATAAATGTCATGTTTTCTGTTTGGGTATATTCATTGAAAGAGTTAATTAGGTAATCATGACTCTTATTCGTCAGAGTTGACTGACAACTACATTTTTGAGGGTAAATACATTAGTAGAACTTTGCATAACAGTCAACATCGTATGCGAGTTACCAAAATACAAATCCATTTGGTAAATTAAAATTATAACAACGGGTAACAGACTAAGTATGTAATTTGATTATTGAGTGTTAACGTGACTATTCATTACTAAGAATTTATGGGTTGCTACATTTGTGTTTGTACGAAAGATTGTTTCTCGTGCTTCACACTGAGTTATCGCAATAATCGCCTAGACTTTTGACTCAATACTTGGAGAAAATGTTTTATTGAATACTCAAACATATACTTTGAATAAATATATATATATAATATATATAGGTTGATATATATATTAATATAATATATGTTCATATACATGTATAAGACATATATATGGGAATTGGTTTAAGAAAAGAAAAGAACAAAACTGATTGCATAAATAACAAATTGTTTAAACATTTCACAGTTTTCTATTCTTCAATAACATTTAGTTAGGCTATGCATTTGGAGATCTTCAACTTGATATTATTTGATTGATATTGGTGTTACAGTTATTAATATTTATTTGTTTGAAATTATGTTTTTCAAATTGATTGTGATGTTGTTATGTCTTTTATTGCATATTGAATGTTATAGACTACCTCTTTCCGTGTTCTCTTTTCAGTTCACCGCCATATTTATTGCCACTACCAACGAGTTCAATTATTTCCGGTATACTGCTGGCAAACATTGCCTAAAATATTCCACACATACGAATATATAAAAATTAACAAGTTTGTTTAGCAAAATCAATTATTGTTAAAATTTAAACGATTGTTGTGTTTTAGCAAAAGGTCTCGAAAGAAAACACTTCGTCAGCCTAGTGGGTTCGAAGTGAGGTCAAGGCAGTCACACCAGAGGAGGCATATACTTATCAATCAATATTTTGGTTTTCTCAATATATGTATGTACCTAAAAGCAGTGGTTAAATTCTCAAATCAAAGTTGCGACAGCCAGCATTAAAGCATGCAAAACACAAATACCTTAAATATGATAGTTAGGCAAAAATTGATTATATGCATGTACGTAATGTGAGATAAATTTCAATCAATGTCGAGACCCTCACCGGCTACCTGATCTGTTGTTATTTCTTTTTGTTACTTGTCAAGGTGTCGGTGTTAGTGTCGGTGTCTACGAGTTGTTGTTACCAAATCAAAGGTAAATAGAAAATTCAAATATATGTATACAAAAGGAGATACTAAACTGCATGCATTTGGTTCGATGGTATTGAAAACAAAAGGCAACTGTTTTAAAAATGAATCAACTACCAGCTGCTGTACGAGTAGTAAGTATGTAAATGTCGCTGAGAGTGCGGGCGAAGAACGAATCGAGAGTGGCTAAATTAAACCGCACGTTGAAACGCGTTAAGCTTACTTAAGTGATTTAAAGCTAACGGAACTGGGATGAACGCATAAATGAAACTGAGTCTCAAAGTAAACGTTTTTGTTTTTTTTTTGTGTTTTTTTTTTTTAAATAAATCGGTGCAGCGGTATTAAGTCGTTCTATGCATGTATTTACAAAAACGTAGCATATTTCTTAAATACGGATACGGTTTTATATAGATTAATTCAATAAAATATAATGTATTGTAGATAAATCCTTATGCTATAAGTCGGATTGTAATTATATGTATGTAGTAAAGGGACAACGCTTGGTACGAGTTCAAGTTGAGGTTGAGTAAAGTAAAGTGCTACGCTTGGTACATGAGTTATTTGTACTGGTTCTGGTACTGGTACTGGTACTGGTACTGGATGGTTTTGGTTACTTGAATACTTTATCGCTAAGCTAGTTTTGAGCACAACTGTACTAAGTACGTTAGCCAACAACCAAAACTTTAATCATTCACACATATTAGCACTGCCAACACCGCTGTTGCTTGGCCTAAACTCAATGGTCCTCGATGTAAATTGGGTAGGACAGAGGCAGACAGAGAGAGATAGAGAAACATTGTCTATATATGTAACTAAAAGAAAGTTTGGATAATGTTGTAGTACATATTGTTGTTGCTTTTTGTGTGGTATATTGTTGATTGTTTCAGCATTTTGTTGTTACACTTACCAAGCCGACGAGCAGAAAGAACACGAGAAATGTTCTTCCCAAAACAGTCTCACAGTAAACGTCACCATATCCTACCGTTGACATGGTCACAATTAGGAAATAGACACAGGTCCAATAGGATAAACGATGAGCATTATTAAAATCCAGCGGATCGCCAGAGTTCTCCAGCTAAATTTTAAGAAAATGCAATTGCAATTTTCAATTGCAAACAAATACGCATCAGCGATTATTCAGATTGCACATTTCCTATGCCATTGGACACTGGAAAAAGCGCTACGCACGCCCTCCCAGCTGTTAGCGCCGGGCTCATACTCTGTAACAGCGTGCAACGCGGCGTATGCGTAATATTTTAACTGGCTCAGACACGCGCTGCAAATCTGCCACAGAGCCGGCTGGAAGACGCGCGACACGCATAGCTAAATGTGTGTGTAAATGTTAACTGTGAGTGTGTGTCTACATACCAGATGTATAATGCCCGCTGCTGTTAACCACACGGATATAAAAATTGATACTAGTTGAGCCAAGCGTATTGAGCTCGATGTTTTTAGTACGTTTAAATATTGTAAAATATCTGGAACAGTCATGAGACGTAGCGCTCGAAGAAATCGAAGACCTGTTTATAATATATATTGACACAAATTATAGTTGCCACACGCAGAGTAAAGCACATTGCATGCATACAAATCGATCTAGGCACGCCCTTAAGAATTATTTCGAATTGTTAAATTAAACATAACATATTGTTTTAAGGCGTTCGTGATGTATGTATACACGTAAGTGTATACGTTTGTGTCTGTGTATGTGTATGTACAAGAGATGAAAATCTTCTTTCCGTGAAACCGATTTGTATGCATCAAATTTTGGGAATTTTTGTAATATTATTAATTTTGGGTATTTCTTTTTTGAGCTTACCGATCCATGTTCGATCTAAATATATTGATACGAAGGACGGGGGTATTGTAAAATAATCTACAAAACTGTACATTTCTAACATAAACCAAAGCTTATCGGACGCCGCTATGAACTGTAAAAAATTGTTAATGAAAGAACACAATCACGTTTAATGATTTGTCAAAAGAGAAGCTAACTAATTATAAACTGAATGCTCAGCCAATTGATTTGCGACAAAATAAATAGAGTGTGCCGTGTAAAACTTACTCGTATAAAAAAGTAAACCATAAAAAATATATTGAATGCGAGATCGATCTGTTGAGTAATGTTATTACTCCATTTTTGGCATCTTTCAACTTCTTCGCTTGATGCATCAACAAAGTATATAATGAGAGATGCAATGCTGAGTATAAATACGAGTACGACCTGAAAGAAAAATGGTTAAATTATCTATAAAACTTGCGTTCAATTCAATAAAAACATGCTATAACTATATATTAATTTTTCAATTATGTATCATCTTCAAAATTATGGTTTCAGTTATGTATAATACTATCTGAGGGTATCTGAAGGTTCAACCGGGATTAAAATGGATTGTTTATTCTCATTCACATAATTAAGAGTATATTGGGCTCGTCTGATTGTCCCATCGCACAAATCCAATTTTTCTTGGAGATACTGAATTTATAGTCTTAAGTTCATTTTATTTATGTCCGATTAAAACAAAGATATTTGTATTAAGCTTCTTCACAGGTCCGTAAGAAGAATGTGGAATAGTGGCTCAACCGAACGGAAAAATGATTAGCTGGATGTTTAGCTGGGTGTGAGTAAAAATTTAAATATTTTGGAGTTTCAAGAAAATTAACACTGAACGGTGTATTGACAAAAAGTAAAACAGTTTGAATTTTTACACAAAATCTCAACCTCGTGCCAGCCAGTTGTATTTGTAACATCCAGTTTTGTATCTCATTATTGATTTTCATCAGAAAAATCTTTATTTTTTTAAATCTTTTCAATTAAGCCCAATCGTACTCCCTATCACATTACTTTCTGGTATGTTTTTTTGGCACGCCTTGTTTACAACCATTGAGTTGTTTATCCGTTTCCTGGCAGAGATGAATAGAAAATAAATTGGATAGGATTATGCACGCCTAATTGCGCCATCTCATTGCTCCGAAATCGCTGCAGCCTTAAGTCGAGGGCGTTCCGTTGATAAATCTGCGGCAATCTTGAAAATGTTACAAGGTAATTTCGGCAGGGCTTCTTCTGCTTGAAAAAGCGCTCGTTAGGCCGCAGCTGTCCGAACAGTGAGCGAGTTAAATGTCAGGGCTTTTTGCCAAAACGAAAATACCAGTAAAGGTGAATCAACTGGGAACTAGCGCTCTTTTAGCCAACATTGTGTCGTCTTATGCCACTTCATGCTATTCTAAATGGGCTTAATTGTTATTGCCGTTGTTAGTATTTCCGCTCAGCCTTATAGACGTAATTGCTTTGATAATCAAACAAAACATAGCATAAAAGGAAAACTGAATTTGGCAAAAGCAGCACGCAAGCTGACTTTTTCATGTTATTATGCAAATGCACATAATATAATGGATCTTTATTATAGTTTTTAGCACAACAACATTCCAAAATTGGCTTTACTTTAATCCAAAACTTTCACATAGAAATGTTAAAGGATTACATATACGCCATGGGATGCCGACTGACTTTTCATTAAGCTAACTTAATTGGCAGTGGCATCTAATGAAATTGAACCGTAATCTCATCCAGTGTTGACGTAAGGCTTTCCTTTCCGTGTATATCAGTAGTGAATCCAAGACTGACGTCATCAGGACAAGGTAATCAATGCAGCACCCAAGCCAGAAAGGCGAAAACGGCAAAGTAACATGGCCACAAAGATGATACAATTTCTTGCTCATATTGTTATAGCTGGGATTATTCTTCTTCTTGTAGAAACCTCAGCAAGAAACTGGGTCAGTCACTATGTTGCGAGCACGACCCGAACCAGTTATGCCAAATATCGAACTTTAAATGTCAAACCCAAAAAATGTGTATAAAAAAAAAACACCTGCAGTCTTGACACCTGCAGAGAATATTTTAATTTTGTGTTATGTTATGTTATTTATAAGAAATATAAATACTTTCGGGTATCCAGAATGCCTATCCAAAACTAATTCGCATACTTTAAAAACAAGAGTGCTTTAGTCGAATGTGTCAGACTTAGATAAATTGAAGACGTTTTCCCTTTTATGTCAGCATACTAAGTAATGCATGCTTAAATATATTTATATATGTCCTCTCGATTCAGGTGAACATCTGGCCTCATTCATGCAACCGGAGCTAGTTTTAAATGAAACAAACTAGATTCCTTTGCTTTGAACTAACTTCTATAGCCACCGAAATGGTTGTGATTATAAAGACGATATACAGACCCTCAAGGTCAACAATTTATGTAGTAGAATGGGTTCTGGATAAAAAAGTTGGTTTTGATTAGCTATTTACTATTAATTACAAGTATTTTAAGACTGCCAGCTGCTCAAAAAAGAAACCAATCAATAGTAATGGAGCAGCGACAGAAAGAATGGTAGGGCTTTTAGTTTAATGGCCCCAGTGCTAAGGCACAATGAGGTTTTTAAAGAGTGCTGACTACTCGTATCGAAGCTGCTCCATGGCGTGACCAAGTGCAATCGGATGTAGTCGACCGCCCCCAGTAAGCTGCCATAAATGCTGCTTGAAGGCTTTCGCTCCACTTCCGCATTGACGTCGCTTTAAAAATTTAAAGCCAATTAGCTGCAGGGCTATGCATGAAGTATTGACCACCCTAGGGGGAGTTCATTCTAGTTTGTTGGGGCAAACCTTCGATTAAAGTGAATGGCAGAATAACACCGATTGTGTAACAGTCAAATAGAAAAGGAATACATACTTGCAGTACAGTTAAACCCAACCGCAACAATAAAAAGAATAGCAATATCAACTATAGCACAGAGCCGAAAAGATACAACGAGCTTGGGCAAAACGTCCAGAAGGCAGCCAAAAGCTGCAATGCCAACAAATATACGCCGCTGTCTGCCAACCGATTGGCGTTTTGGCAGAAGGGCTGGCCTGGCTATATCCATTTACCCCAATTCGCGTTCCTTCTCCATAAATCGCTACAGCCCCACGCGTCTGCCTTCCTTGGCCCTGGTAACAATGAAACGTGCGAGTTTTTATCGATTTTCTTAGACTTTTTCCTGGCCCACTCTTATTATTTGCTGTAATTTCTTCTTTTTTTCGGTTGTGGCTTTTTTAGTGCACCAAAATATCATTCGTTATTTTATTTCATTTTGCCCGTTTCCCCCTATTAGCTGGAAAATCTTGTTGGCTTAAGGATAGCTCTCTCTTTGCATACAACAAAGAGCACAAATTTCGACAAATGTCCCACAGAGAAATCAACCAGTTGGAAAAGGCATAAACATTTTTGCATATATGTGTGTAAGATATAATTTGTTATATCATTTTTTGCTTTTACTCCTTCTTTTCCCTTATTATCGTAAGCATCGATTGAGGAATAGAGTTTTAAAGCCCATCAATG